TGTTTCCCCTTTTATGTTCGATCTTGTTTATACTGATGTGTGGGGTCCTGCACCTATTCCATCTAAAGGAGGGTCACACTATTTTGTAACCTTTATTGAGATGATCATACTCATTATACATGAGTTTTCTTTATCTATAGTCGCATTGAACTTTTTAAAACCTTCACTCAGTTTTATTCGTATGTAGAAACCCAATTTTCCACTAAAATCAAAGCCCTGCACTCAGATTCCAGAGGGGAATATGTCAGTGGATTGCGTCAACAATTTTTGGCTAATAACAACGTTCAACACCACAAAACCTGTCCTTATACACCAGAACAAAATGGCGTTGCCGAACATAAAAATCTTCATATCTTGAAAACCACAAGGTTCCTTCTGTTTTCTACATCTGTCCCAAAATAATTTTGGGCAGAAGCTGTTCGTACCTCAGTCTTCCTCATCAACATCATGTCATCCTCCATTTTATTTGGTGAAACATTTTTAAATATTATTTACACGACCACCTTATTATTCCCTCCCACGTGTATTTGGCTGCACTTGCTTTGTTTTGTTACCCCAAACTGAGAGAGATAAGTTGTTCAAATGTTACTTTATTGGTTACCTTGATCATCAAAAAGTATATAGGTGTTATGACCCTGTGACCAAAAGACTTTGAGTATCCCGACATGTGATGTTTTTTGAGTATATTCCATTCTTTGCAAATAACAATAATCCATCACCTTCTCACCTTTCTTTCTTGGTCCCATTCTCTGATTCTATTATTCATTCCACTCGTGTCGCTTCTTTTGAAGTCCAGGAAGAAACTCCACCATCTCATGCTAACAGTCCTGATCAAAACCCTGCACCTGCTGATCCTCTGCCACCCCTGCTCTTCGACGGAGCACCCGGGTATCTGTTCTACCTTCCCACCTTGCTGAGTATGAAACCTTCTTACCTCCACACCAAGCTTTCCTTTCCTTTGTTCATTTTTTTTTTCCGAACCTCAGACTTATAAAGAATCTGCAAGTCAACCTGAGTGGCAACAAGTAATGGCTGATAAGTTGAATGCACTCAAGCGTATGCATGCTTAGGATCTGGCACCTCTCCCGAAAGGAAAAACTCCCATAGGTTGTCGATGGGTATCTAAATTAAAACCATTGGAGATGGTAGTATGGAACGTTACAAAGCCCGCTTAGTGGCAAAAGGTTACAATCCTCAATATGTTATTGACTTTGCCGAAACTTTTGCTCCACTTGCTCATATGACTACAGTTGGTACACTGATCTCAGTGGCTTCTGTTCAGCAATGGCCTCTCTATCAATTAGATGTAAAAAATTCTTTTCTCAATGGTGATCTTGATATAGACGTATATATGAAGTTACCTCCTAGCGTTGTGGATCCTCACAACCGCTTGTGTAAACTTTGACGGACCTCATATGGATTCAATCAAGCACCTCATACTTGGTTTGAATATATTTTTGTAATGAAGTTCTTTCGGTTGGATTTCAACAAAGTCATCATGTTCCAGCACTCTTTGTGTCTAAAACTTCTGCAGGACGGGTTCTCTTGTTACTATATGCCGACGACATGATTATCTCTGGTAATGATATGGGCACAATTCATAAAATCAAACAGAGGCTCAATAGCTCCTTTCAAATGAAAGATTTGAGTTTCTTGTTGTATTTCCTTGGACTCAAAATTGCTTATTCTCCTTATGGCTATTTGTTGTCACAGCTAAAATATGCTTCAGAGATTGTTTCTCAAACTCAACTCCAGAATGATACAAAAAAGGTTGATACCCCTCTTGAGGTCAATGCCAAATTTCAGGCTACCAATGGTGAAGCTCTTCTTGACCCAACCTTTTTTAGGAAACTAGTTGGAAAATTGATATATCTAACCATTTAACGCCTCGATATTGCTTATGCAGTACATATGGTTAGTCAGTTTTTTAGTGCCCCGCATTTTGTACATCTCGCTGTTGTTTTACGCATCATTCTTTATATCAGAGATACCCGTCACCAAGCCTTATTCTTCTCCTTGTCTACCTCACTTGAGCTTCGGGCATATACAGTTTCTGATTTTGCAGGAAATCCAAGTGATCGCAATCCACCAAGGATTATGTATTTTTCTTGGTGATTCTCTCATCTCTTGGAAAAGCAAGAAACAGAAACGAATTGCTCAATCAACTACGGAAGATGAATACTGGGTTATGACACAGATCACCACAGAGATTGTTTGACTACGTTTTTTGCTCGCAGACATGGGTGTCACTATCTCCACTCCTACTCCACTTTATTGTGACAATAAGAATGCCATTCATGTTTCTAAAAATCCAGAATTTCATGAGCGCACGAAACATATTGAAGTTGATTGCCACTATGTTCGACAAGAATATCGCGCAGCTACAAGTTCCTTACCATATGTGCCTACCGCAGCACAACTCACCGATTTCTTCACTAAGTCTCATCCCCCACATCCTTTCTCACAGTTTGTTTCCAAACTCTCCATGATTCCTCTCAAATCATCTCGAGTTTGAGGGGGAGTGTGAACAGTTAGAGAAACTGTACATTCATATATAACTGTGAACAGTTATAGAAACTGTACATGAATGTATAAATTCGCCATTGTAAATCAAGTTTGTAAGATAACAGAAACAATATCTTCTACGCCCTCTATCTTCCCCTCCGCATCTAAACTCCATGCTCGTGGGTTGCCTCCACCAATTTTTGACATGCACACACCATCATACAGGCGCTTTCTTTCCTGTCCCTTTCTTTATACTTTGTGTATGGCACCCAAGCATTTGGGTTGTCTTCTCACCTCTAGTTCTCTTTCATTCCTCTCCCCCTCTCTTACACTACTAGTGTGGCTGAGCAGTCGGCTTGTAGGTGGCCTACACCCATTTTTGTCATGCGCACTCGTCATACGAGTTTGCTCCCTCCTCTCTCTTTCTGTCTTCTTTTTAATTTTTTATATTTTGCACAAAACACCCAAACATGTGGGTTGCCTTCTCTCCTCTTTTTCTCTACCGCTTTTCTCCCTCTTCTAATCTCTTCTTCCATCTCTTTCTTTCAACCTTTCCTCATCGTTCTTATGTTGACTTCTAGTTATTCCTCCCTTAATTAATTTTCTTGCATCTTCCTTTCACTTGTGTCTTAGTTCTATTCTACCTCGTTTTCATTGTCTTTCTTTATTTCTATTGTCACCTATAAATACTAGTTCGATTGGCTGAGCACCTGATCTGTGGGTGGCCAACCAACATTTTTTTGATGCTTTTTGTTTATGTTTAAGCGTTTTTTGTAGAAGAACACCCGGGGCTTGTGGGCTGCCCTCCTCTCACTGCTTGTGAGAATCTTTGTACTTTATCACGACATAGTAATATATTGTCACCATTTTCCTAAAACAAAAAATGGAAAGAAAAGAAAAGTGAAGAACCCAAAAGTTGGAACTCATATTTATTAGATTCTTGGGTTAAATTAAAAGAAGTTTCAAAAAGATCTCTGATATAGACTTGAAAAGTGAATGAAATACTCCTAACTTCACACAAAATGGATGAAAATCAAGCGAGAAATTTGAAAAAATGGCAGATCGGGCAATAGAAAGTGTGAAAAAACAAACCCTGAAATTCATAGTTCAGATTTCGTCAATTTGGAGTGCAGATCTGAAAATCCTACATGTAGATTTCATAGAGGATTCAACAGAGAATAAAATGCCTCTAATAATACAAAAATTATGAAAAACAAGGGAAATTAGAAAAATGGTGGATCAAACTTGAATAATAGGAAAAAATAGCCATAATTTGTGCCTTGGATTTTGATGATTTGGAGTTTTGATCCACAATCTTTTATATAGATCTGAGGGAGGACTCAAACATGAAGAAAACCTCTTAAATTTCAGCGAAAATTGTTGAAAAATGGGAGAGATGTGAGAAAATTTGATCAAAGGTTCGTTTTTTATGTAAAAAGGTGTTCAATGTGATGGGAATAGCACAATTCTTCAAAAAGAATTACCTGGTCCCTGACATGCTTGCTCGGTTCATTGGGCAGAACCGGGCAATTCTATTTGAATAAAAAAGATTCTCAGTTTCACAAAGGAACCTAGTCGGTCCCCTATTGAATCAGATTTGGATCAGCGATTCCTAATCCTAATCTGCCTTTTCTTTTTTTTTTAACACTGGTATAGAACATTAAAAATTGGAAAGGAAAAATTCTATATAATCAATTAAATTTTTTTATTTTGATCATTTCTATCTGAGCAGTAACCATATCTCCAACATGGATCCTCTGCCACAAGAACCGAGAAGACATATTGAAAGATCTCAAATACAGATTTAACCAAAGATGACTTGTTACCCGATCTCTGATCCTCAATGTTATGAATCATTAAAAATCTCCTTTGTTACATCTCTTGATCTTTTCCCTATGAATGAAGTCCAAATAAATTGCATTTGAAAGGATTACTTAAAGTTCTTAGTTTTTTCTTTATCTTAAAAGAATTTAAAATAATTGGACGTTTGGATGGTTTTGTCACTTGAAAATGCTTAGGGAACCCCTTCTGCGTTTGGCTCGAGGGCATTTTCCATCCTCGAGTCATGGGCTTACTGATGCGGTCGGCTTGGCACCACTCTCCCTCTTGGCACCTCCTGGGCACCCGGGGTGGCCAATTTTTGTAATCATGATATTTTCGTGTTTTTAAATTTGCATTTGAGTCGTTCCTATCAGCTTTAGTGTGAAGATACAATCAAATTATTATTTATTATTTGTCTGATACTTTGTATTAAGAGCTCATTGCGGCATTATCTTAGGCTTAAAATTTTAGGATTTGCAAATTCAGACTGAAGATAATTAATTTTATATGTAATGTATATGCAGTAAGTCTTAGTCCTTGATTTGCACAACTGAATGTACAAATTGTTTACTTGGGATTCACTCATTATTGAGTCGTTTCTATTTTCTTTATGCACATTTATTGCTTTTTCTAGTTACTGCTTTGTCTAATATTTCAATTACATCTTTTTCCAGCCTCAACCAGTAATTAAAAGCTTCCCTGTTGAACCAATCAAACCTCTTGCTTCGAATGCTGATGGCACATATATTGTTGGGGGAGGTTCGTCAGGAACTATTTACTTGTGGGAGGTGAATTATCTTGCATTTTGATTATCTTTTGTATTCAAACATGGTGGCATTAAACTATGGCAAATTTGAAATTGATTGATATAGCTGACCCCAAATCATTGGGATAAGATTTAGATGATGATGATAATGAAATTGGTTGTTGTGAAAGTGAAATTCTTTTCTACCTGTTCTTATGCTTTTCGTAATTTTCAGGTGGCAAGTGGCAAAATGATTAGGAAGTGGTCTGCCCATTTTAGAGCAGTCACTTGCTTGGTCTTCGCTTGCGATGAATCTCTGTTAATCTCTGGGGCTGAGGATGGAATGGTCATGGTTTGGTCTTTGCTTAAGTACTGAACTCTTTCTCTAACTACTATCCTAATACTTGGATCATTTCCGCTTCTATAGAAATTAAACACTTTGTAGTAATAATTGGTTCTTGTGTTTTTCTTCACTGTAGGATATTAGATGATGCAGGATCATCAGTGCATCGTGAACACAGTTTTTCTGGTCACAGTTTACCGATAACTGACATTGTATGTGGCTTTGGAGGGTGTAATTCAACTATTGTATCTTCTTCAGAGGATTATACTTGTAAGGTCATGTATCTCCTGAGAAATTTGTCCATAGCTTGAACGCAAGAAGATATGATCACATAAAAAAGTATTTGCTTTTCAAAATGCTCCTTCAGCATTGCCTTGATCCTAAACTTCCTCTTCAAAGTCTTTCTATGATGAGTTGCAAAAAGTCTTTGCTTATTTATTTATTTATTTATTTATTTATTATTATTGTTTTGTGGGTGTATTTTGTGTTATATTTTTCATCATGAAGGTGGTAGGTTTGGGTTTCAGAAATATTGTGATATTTACAAGGTGCTTTCATTGGACATGTTACATATGTGACTTGTTTCTGATGCCATATATTGCAGGTATGGAGCTTATTAACAGGTCTCTTGAGAACTGTTAAATTTCCATCTGTAATTAATTCCGTTCAGCTGGATGCTGGCGAATATGCGCTTTATGCTGGCAGCAGAGATGGCAAAATATATGTTGCTGATCTCAATTCAGGACATTCCTCCCACAGCATCTATGGTGCAGATATTGTTTGTGCATTATCTGATCATAGGTTTGTCTTTCATTTACTGATAATATATTTCATTTTTTTTTTCTTGACCATTGCGTGATCCAGTATCTATAATTGTGGCTTTTATATTCAATTTTATCACAATAATGTCATGGATTGTATTTGTGACAGCTAAAACTGCTAATATTACATTTCAGAATAATTTAACAAGAATCTGGTAAAAAGCAAATCCAATTGTAGGTCTTGGTGGGTTGGGATTGGGGTTTTGTTATTTTAATACGAGAGTTGGGAGACAAGGTTCTGTTTACCCAATTTGGATTCTGTTGGGGAAATAACCAGATCCCTCAGAAAATGGATCTAGAAATATCGGTTGAGTGTTGGAGAGTCTGAAAGAAAATGTTTTAGGAACTTCCTTATAAAACTCAAAAGTAGTTGGACTTATGTTGATACGGGTCGGGGACGTATTTTGTACTTATTCCTAGATTCTTCTATTTGACGATTGTTGTCCATCTTCTTTTTTTTTCAATTGAAAAACTTATTGAAATGGAAAATCCATGTTTGATCTTTCTAGCTGATTCTGGTTGTTTGTCCGTTCCTCTTTGCTTGGCCCCTGTGCGTGCTGTATATGGTCTCCGAGGAGGTCAACTGTACTTGCTGTTCTTGTGCCAGCACCCTGCGACTGTTTTAGTAGATTCTTAGAAACTATGTTCTCTATAGCTGATTTCTTGATAAATTATTTTGCTTTCCATAAATGATAATATTTACTTGTTGGCTTACCTTTTGAGCAGTAAAGCTGTGACAAGTTTGGCCTTTAGTATGGATGGATTTTCATTAGTTTCTGGATCAGAGGATGGCACTGTTCGGGTGTGGGATGTAGTAAGCAGCCAGTGTATTCGCATATTTAAACATGGAAAAGGTAAGTTATCTTGTCATACTAAATTTACTATATCAAGTGACTGTTCTAAAATGCATAAAACAATTCAAGACAATAAGTATGAAGTATATATTGAAACTTGCTGTTCAACATAAATGAGAAAAAAGCCAAATTTAATCGAGAAAAATTGTTTTACACATTTTATTGTTTCTAAATTTGTAAAGACTAAGTTTTCAATAAATGTTTAGAGATCGCCTTGTCATCTTGGGACCTGCTCATGACTCAGTTGATTTTTAAGGTTTCGGACTTATTTTTTTGGGACAATTACTTCCTCACCCCTCCCTATAATTTATGGTCCATATAGAACCTCAGGTCTACATAAATCCCATGGACCCCCTTAAAATTTTAAAAATAGGCCAATAACACAACACCCCCCACCCCCACCCCACCCCCACCCCTACCCCCACCCCCACCCCCAACCCCCAAAAACTGCCCCAAAACATAAGTACCTTTTCTTACTAGTAATTTACTACAACCCCTGTAACTTTAGATAAATACATATCTGGTCTTCCATTTCTCTCATGATTTCCTCCTCTCCCTTTTTCACAAACGAGGTTCTTTCACTGGAAGATTGCCAGCAATGAATTTCCTTCCAAACTTCTTGGCATTTAGAAAAAAATCTTTTTTGGCAACTTTCTCTGCGTTTTGGCTAACTACCATATTGTATATGACCTTTTGCGAATTTTTGTATCTCCATTCTCTCTCTCCAGAAAAGTTGCTAGAATTTGGGTCGGTCTCTTTGCTCATTCATGGAGGCCTTCCTCGGAAATTTCGCTCACTTTACTGGCGTTCCATTTCAGGCCTTCGCTATACCAATTGTTCGTTTCGCAAGAGCGACCTCTGCTTATGCCATGATGGAACTGATTATAATAACTCTCTCTCTATCTCTCTCTCTACCAAGTAAACCTAGACCCAGTTCTTCGTACCTGTCCCAAGAGCCACCTCTGCTCATTCCCTAATAAAACAGAATATAACTCTCTCCCCTCCCCTCTCTCCTTTCTCCCCCATCCAAACGAAACCCCTTGATTAACCCTTGTCATTGCTTGCACCCTCCGAAAGTTTTTCGCACCACACATTCCCCCCAACCATTCGTTAGAACTACGACCAATTAAACACTCAAGAAGTTCTTCTGATTTATTTCCTCTCTCTATACCCAAACCATCCTCTAGTGCAGAAACCCAACAAAATGCAGTGCCTTTGTGTGTAATATCTGTGAAATCTCAAAATCTCTGAAATCTCAAATTACTTGGCATTAATTGGGTTGACAGTGAATCAACTGTTTTCCCATTACTGCAATCTGGGTTATCTGGTTCAGGGTGTTGTGGACATTCTAGAGAGAGAAAGACGGGTCTTTCTCTCTCTAGTCAATTCTTCTTGGATTTACTTGAATTCAGGACCAGGATGTCTAATGGGTTATTTTTGATGCATGCATTGACACCTTTAGAGCTTGCCTTGATAGTATAGTGGAGAGAAGTGTTCTCACGAGGAGCAATTTTTTCTTGGGAGAGTGATTGGGAAAAGGCCTTTTGGGTTGTTTATTATGGTGTGATGGCCCATGGGAATGTGAATGTGAAAAGAGGGATGAGAAGAAAGTATAGGATTTATGGAGAGAAGGAAGAAGTTTGCCGGAGCTGAATTTTCTGGCAAATTTATGGGTGGGAGAAATTTCTCTGAAATTAAAGACATTATAGTAAATTATTTATAAGAAAAGGTTAGGAGTGGGCTATCGGTCCTCTTCCTTAAAGTAGAAGGGGTTCCAAGGGAGTAGGTCATTTTCTCTTTATTTCTTGTATGTGTGTGTGTGTGTGCGTGCGTGTTGTGTGTGTGTGTAGTGTGTCGTACATGGAGGCTAGTGTTAAAATGGTACATGGAGGCTAGCGTTAAAATTTTTGTTAGGGTGTTGCTCTTTGTTTCTTTGTGTGGTTGCCAATGCTCATAGTTTTGAAAGTTTTATGATCTCCTGGGGTTTGCAACTCGTGCTATGCATTTGTTTGATTGCTTCTTTTAATCAATTTATTGCATTTTTCATGTGATTCATTTAGGTTTTAGGGTATTCATTACTTGCCCTTTTGTTTTCTTTGTTGTAGCCTTGTAGGAATACAGGGTGTTGCTCTTTGTTTCTTCGTGTGGTTGCCAAATGCTCATAGTTTTGAAAGTTTATGATCTCCTGGGGTTTGCAACTTGTGCTATACATTTGTTTGATTGCTTCTTTTAATCAATTTATTGCATTTTTCATGTGATTCATTTAGGTTTTAGGGTATTCATTACTTGCCGTTTTATGTCTCAAATCATCACAGTGTACTTCGATTTTCTAGTACAGGGCTCCTTATATTGAACTTCTTTTGTTGTGCAATTTTTGGCTAGATATTCGATTGACTTCACCATTAGTTGAATTTGTCAGTCGTATCCTATTAAGTCTTATTCTTCTAAGCTTATTGGTTTGACCCCATATGTTTACAAAGCGGCTGGTTTTCTTTTTGTGCAGGACCTATCAACAATGTTCTCATTGTACAACTACGAACCTCATTAAGTGATCCTTCATTGGCTCGGATGTCTAATTCGATATTGGGAAAGAATCGATTTTCTTTACCATCTCCACTGGAGAAGTATCTTAGTAAGAGGGATGAGAATCCTGATGGAAGCATCAATGTTGGACCTGTAGTTGCGCTTCGCTCTAACCCTTTCCATTCATTGGATGGCCAATCCTTCAACAGTCTTACCGTGTTGTTGAATCAAATCAAAGAACTCCAGGTTTTTATTTTTTTTCTTATTATTGTAACTCTTGTTATTTCTGATATCTTACCACTACACATATTAAATCGTCTTTGAATGTCGTACTGTTGAAGTTCATTTACTCTCTCCTTTCTCCATTATGTTTAAGAATTATTCTTCTATGATATTAGAAAGAGAGGAATGCCATTGTCTAGTCTCCTAGATCGTGTTTGATGACATTGTTTGCGTTTACTCCAATCTATTGACCACTAGATGGAGTGCACCTTATGTTTTGTTTATTACTGTATTGAATGGCTTACTGTGTATGAGAGAACACCATATGTTAATTTACTGTTCTGCTCTCATAACGCATGTGAAAATACCATGTCCAAAGGAAACTTGGTGGGTAAAGCATATGGTTTAGGTGTTTCAGTTTGAGTTGTAATGCTTTGCCATTCCTTGAGCATGGGCACGATGGTTTTTACTCCATGACCTGTATGTGAAAAAGTTTCATTCAGTTCTTGATGGATAATGCATGAAATTAGACCCAAATCATTAGCTATAGAGAATGCCTTTTGGATTGGTCCACGTGATAATGGAGTGCTGAAGTTTTTGAGTCCTTTTCTCCTTGTTAAAATCAGAAATCATGATGGATGATTATCCCAGGGTATTTTAAATGGGATGTGTGTCTTAATAAGGCACCTTCCCTCATTGGATGCACTTGTTAGAAAGAAGAAAAACTGCTTTTCATTCTGTCCGGATGAGAGGTTCATGCCATACATTGTGATTGCCACATAAGAAATATGAGCACCCTCAAACAAGTTGGAAGAATATATACACACACTACAAATCACATATAGACATGGATATCCTCCAACTCCCTCCCTCAAATTGGCTCATCAACCGTGATAATGGATGGTTTCCTAAGTAGTCATGCTGGCCTTGGATAACTGACTTAACTAATGTGCAACTTGATGAGTTGCATTGATATATTTGCAAGTTTATTCCTTGTATGTTTACTCACACCATCTAAGGTCTGATGCCTGGTGAACTTTTTGGCTTTGATTGCTGCACCGCACTGTTTCAGGCACATTTTCTCCTTAGACTTGTGAGTTTTGATTTACATTTTCATTCTTGTCCATTATAGGAGCCCTATGTATTTGTGAGAGAATCACACTGGCAGAACCATACAATGGAAGTGATTCGTATATTTGTTTGTTAATCACAATTCATTTCACATGAAACTCTTTTCATTCCTTGTGTCTGCTGATAAATACTAAAATAGCATAGCAAGTCTTTGTATCTCTATTTCCATATTTCATAAAACAAGGGGGAAAAGTATAACGGTGCCCATTTTTGGGATCGTACAAAACTATGACTTGTAAAATGCCCTCATTGGGGGATCTCAGTAACAATCTGCTGCTTAGGCATATTCTTCTTTCGGTTTTCATGATATACAAGATTCCAGATTATGAAGTGTGTGACTCACTGACCCTTAGGTTATTTCTGTGTTTCAGCAACAGGGTTCTTCAGCAACTTCACAAATGGAGTTGGAAAGGCTAAAATCGGATCTTGGGAGAGCCATGCAAATGGTTCAGAGATGGCAAGATGTCTATCAAGATTTATATAGCTTCTCCACAGCAGAGCTTCTGAGTAATGTTGACATGACGGGTGTTGAATGATCGTTGAGATCCTTTTATGGCATTTAATAGATTTTTGTTGGATTGAGTTCTTTTGTTGGGTGAAATGCCATAGTCCAAGGGTGCCCCATGTCTACATCAACCGATGATTCCCTTTCACAGATAATTGAAGATTGTCAGGAGTAGGGTCCATTGGGACATTCATTTAGCTTCTGTTTTCCTCCAGCCGCTCATCAGGGAATGCAGGGTGGATGTAGATTGAAGAAAGATACGCCATAGTCTATTGAGGGTATGCTATCTCTTGTTGTTTACCTTCAATGGAGAATAATGGCCGAGGGATTGTTACCCGTTCATCTTGCATGTGGACACCATACACCAGCTGTGGACACAAACATATGGTACGTCATGAGGATATCCGCTGTCCACTCCCTATGATGGACGTTGGAGATTACCCATAGATCCCTGTGATAAGGGGGATGGGTAAATCTTGAAGCCAACGGTAGGCATACTTCATTATGTAATCCATCCGTTTTTAGGGACGTTCTTTCGAAGGCCTCTTTCCAAATTTTGAGGAAATTCTATGACAAAATTGCCAAGTCTTAAGCTCTTAAATTCTTATTTTCTCAGTAGTTTAGCAGAGGGATTTGAAAAATGGATATGGTGTTGTTTTGTATTATCTAACAACTAATCATGCTAGGTCTGCAAAACCCAACTCCTAGCTTCCTGCCTTTGGGTGGAGAAATTGGACATTTTTAAGTCTGTTTTGACAGATATTTGAATGCATTGAGTTTTATGTTAGGAAAAGTATAACATGCGTCAGGGGATAGACATGTAGTTACATGTGTCCCCTGACGCAACTAACAATCCATCTCAAAGATGGATGTAAAAAAGGTGTTGGTCGCACCACCACCACCTACAAATTAATGGACTAAAAGAATAAATAATAAATTATTATTATCTTGTTTTTAAAATCTTTTTTTCTTTTTTTACATTCAGTCATCATAGTATTGTCTACCCCAAAAAATTTTGGATCCAAAATGCATGACTAATGGATTTTGGAGAGTGGACTCATGAATAGATGAGTCACGCGACTCATAGAAACCTTGTCCTTTATGTTAATAATCTTCATTTACCAGTAATTTCAAATTTATTAGCTACAGGAAATCCTATAAGATTTGAAGAGCTCGTGACAATTTCTTGTCCTTACTCGCCAGTTTATACGATAAATATCTGAAGTTTTGTTATCCTTCCCACCATTTGATGTAAATATTTGAAGTTTTGGATTTGTTTCAATCAACATATTTTGGACCTTATAAATTACAAATGTAGGGCTGATTTGAGCCTCTTTAAGTTCTACAACGCACACAACCAGGTGCAAATACGGGCCTTCAAATATTCTATAAATATTTTTTAGGGACAGGTAAATGGTGAGCTTCTTCTGTGGTACAAAAAGGTCCAGATATAAAAATCGTATGGCTGGGCTATGCCATTTCTCCACTCGAGAAAATTTCTCATGCTTTGTGCTCGATTAATGATCCATGGCTCATTAATATGTGAAAGTTTCTAGGTTTGCCAGTATTAACTTTGAATATGAAGGGCTTGTTTTTTACGACAATCAATTTTATCTAGAATATATTATCTTATCTAAAACTTCAACTCTCTTTATTAACATTAATTTTTAAGCTATTTGGTATGTATCTTTTATGATATTACTCAATCATTTAATATTCAGTGAGTTCTTGCTATTTGTAGCTATTTGTGCCCAAAGAATGTGATTTCCAGCAAATTACAATAAATAAGGTGCAAACTGCTTTTTTTAAAAAAAAAATTATCTAGTAGTTTTTGCATAACGCTGTGATGGACGGTGTCAAACAAAAACTAATTTCTTATCAAGATTAATTTTATTGAAATGGTAAATTAGCAGTTGCGTACTAGCAAATCCATAAGGCCCTAAACTTCTTAGTTGGGTTTTTGGACCATTTAGCAATTATAAACAAAATAGTTTAATTACATTACATGAGGACATTAACCGACTAATAGTGGTTTGATGCTGAATGCTACTTGTGTGCGTTGTAACGATGAGCGAGCAAGGAGACCGAACCCTAATTAAGATTTACATTAACTATAGTAAATTGCAGCAATTTTGAAATGGGAAATTTACTTTTAGTATGAGGTGTTTAAAATTAATCTTGACTATTGGATGTGAAATTTGGTGGCTGCATTTATTTCTTGACCAAGCTCAAAATTGAAAAGAAGTTTTTTCGAACTTTGTGACACGCCCAAGCTTTTAAATTTTACATTGGATAGTTATAAGTAATTGTGGCCTTCTTGTATCAAAAATAAATGATTTCATCATATATAATCTTTTTTTGAAATTATGGTAATAACATTAATTATTGTAAACTTATTTCCATAATGAGTTTACTGTGATGATAATAATTTTAAAATGCATTAAAATTAATTACAAAATGCGTTTACGGTAAATTATACTAATTTGCAATAAAGCCTAATCATATATTTTGGGGATACTTAAGAAAAAAAGGGGCCACATCTCAATATGTATCTGGTTCATCAATCCAATATGCTACATCCCAAGTTTGATTCCTACTGTTGAACTACCAAAAACAAAAGCATCCAACATTGAGCCAGTTCATGAAATGGTCAATTCATGATCCGATCCAAGACTCTGTGCCTGCGAGCCCCTCGAAAGAAGCGAGCTTTCAGTGTCAGCGATTCAATGCTAGAGGTGGTGGATCGGTTGGTGTAGCACTGGGTAAGTTGGTGCATCTTAAAGGCCAGCACCCTATTTAGACTCGACATGATAGATGTCTTTTTGTGTTTACAATGTAGATTTCATAGAAACTGGTTGGAGGTGTAGATGGATTATTGTAAACTACATGGTCAAAAGAAAGTACACTCCTGCGGGAAAATAATTTCCATTTACTCCCTTGGTACAACTGCAACTAGAATTAATTTTAGGACCCAAAATTTTGGGAAGATTAACCTCATATATATATATATATATATATATATATATAGAGGAAAAGATCATATCAGCCCATGAGCTAATGGAATAGCGTAAGCCAAAGCTTTATGTTGTGGTTAGATCCAAATTGAACAGATTGGACCACTTCATAAGCTATGGCTGATTTTTTATTTCTCACTGTTTGAAAGCATTATCCCACTAAATAATTTCATTCAGTATAATCACAAAAAATGATAATCAGTGAAATACGGACAAGAACAATGCCATTGAAGCAATCAGATCCTTCAAGTAGAGCAGATATGACTGCTTCATAAGGCATTGGAGTTTATCATTTCTCAGTTTGTATTTTTAGTTTGATAATATGAATGCAAAATTCTATCATGGGTCGTTGTCTAGGACTCCATTCCACGGGATAACTCTCTCTACTCATTGGCTCACGCTCACCCACATATCTCTCAACTCAGAGAGATCTTGTAAACAAATTCAATTAGAAAATAATTTATCAACCATCATCATTGTGAAAGTCTTTTTTCAAGTAATTGGAGTCGGCGATGCGAATCATGATCCACCATTCTGCTCTATTAAGAGCTATACTCCGTGAGGCTACTTATGGGGAACGCTCTAGTATTAGCAGATATCTTGGATTCTGGATTCATGAGAAGTCTTGGCAAAGTTTACATTGGTTGCCTACTTAACACAACCCATCCCCGTTAATTGGACTTGGGATGTGTTAATGAAAAATTTAAGGTCCTCAGCTTTCTTAGACTAAGGAAAAAAATTTATCAATAAAGAAAAATAATTCAAATGTAATATTTTATTGTAAGACTTCAACTATATTTTGGTTCTTTAAACTATAATCCTCCTATGGGTGGGATATGATTTAAGGAGATACATGTGGTGAAATGTCACAATTATTATTAATATTGAAATGTGAAATTGGGTGGTTGGGAATATGTAACTGATTGGGCACAAAGTCTAAAATGAAATTCTTCAAAATTTTCGACACATTTCAATCTGTTGGATTTCACATCTAATGGCTAAAAAAAATTGTGACCTTCTTGTACCAAAAGTGAATAGTCTTGTAACATACAATCTCATGATTTAAAAATTTCTCTTATTGAATAAATAGCAATCACTATTGATAAATTGTTTAATGAACAACTCAAATTGGTTAATCTTTGAAGTCTTAAGTTTAAGTCAAATAACAAAGAGAAATTGATCAAAAATACACATAAGAAATTAACTATTTGACATCTTACCTCTATCTTTTGATTTGACTTCAAAATATGCATGACTATGATGTGGATTAGTAGATAAAGAGAACTAGCTAAATTATAGAAAAGTCAACTGTATTTTGATAACTTATCCTAATAAAAAATATAATCCTGAGAAATCCAAACAAGTTCTTAAGTGATTTATCAGTTCTATGCCTTCAAAAAAACCAGACCTTTAGAAATGATCATATTATCCCGATTTTCTACACTTCAAAAATTCTTCAAAAGCCATTGCCGAACTTAAAAAATGATAAAAAAAAACTTGGCACTAACCATTGACTTGTTTTAATCGCCATTGGAGGAAAGTTGTGGAATCAAATACCACTGTATGTCATAGGAACGGTGGTCATGCAACTTTATCCCTTTGATGTATTTTTATTAGTTGGAATTTATTAGCAGACATGGTTTCCCTTGTGATGGTCACTTGATTTTGTGGCAGAGGCTCATCAGCGCTTATGTCTTATGTCTTTTTGACAACGATGGCCGTGTCGTGGGGCCCAGATAAATTTTTGGACCATGATTTTTAAATGGCAAAAGTTGACGTAAGGATGCAACGTTATAATGTAGAACTACGAATGCACCTCAAAAATCCATCGAAAAAGGTAGTTTTAATGTTGAAAAACCTTTTGATTGATCATCTTGACATCGAGATGTATGACCATGAAAAATAAAGAGATTTTAAATCTAAAAAAATAGTGCAGTTTACAACATATTATCTACACCGTCCATTTTCAAGATTTTCATATGTTTATAGATCTACTTGATTTTAACCATTTTTAAAATTTAAAAATTTTATCATTAGATATAAAAATAGATTTGAGATAATCCTAAGAACATTTTATATTAAAATCATATACCATGATAAAATTTGAATGTGCACCTTACCTCTACAGCTACAGATGCATCCCTATGCCAACTGCACTCTTTTAAAATATGAAGGAATTGTATCTTACATTTTTGTTAGGGATATATATATAAAGAGACCATTTACTTCTAATACGAAGAGGTCAGAATCACTCTTGTCTGTCAGATTTCAAATAGAATGATAGAGAGTAATTTTTTAATTGACTGATAAAATTCAAATAAATATCGAACTTTGTGAAACACCGTAAGCCATCCGATTTGACATCCAATGGATACTAACAATTGTGATCTTCTTGTATCAAAGATAAATGATCTTATATTATAGAATCACCTTTGTTTGGGCAAATATTTTATGTGGCACATAATGACTATGATAAGTATATCCTATATTGGATTGAAATCTAAATGAATAGATGCGAT